AGTCACCATAAAAATTACGAAACGAAAATTAAAATTACTAGGTGAAAATTACGAAATGAATGGTGGATTAGATATTGAGAATATGCCATATTTTTTATACGTACACAATATTTGTTAGCATACATATTACATGTCATTGAGGACGAATATTATATTTGTGTTTTTATCCGTGCTTTTTAACGAAGTGTAACCACAATTTGGACAAATGTCCCTTTCAATTAAATAAGAAAATAGTCATACTATCACACATTTAATATCCTATAACTCATATTAAGGTATTAAAATTAATGTACTTTGATTGTAAAACAGATTTTATTACTATGTAAACAGCTTATGAAACGAACATTTCAGTACCGGTAACATAAAGAATCTTTATACAAACAATTGATTTGCATTTAATATATGGCATACCTTATGTATGTCACAAAACTGGATTTTTGAGTGCTCATTATTGGATGTAAAAAGGTGATGCCTTAGGTAAAAAGCCAAGACATTCTAAAAATGTTAGTGCATACAGAAAATAATACCATTTAATCTGGGGCTTGCTAGTTTTCCCGGGATAGCCTGAGTAGGCCCAAATTACAATCTTAGGATTGTTATATTAGGTAGCCATTTCAAATTAAAGTATTAAAAAAGAGTCCCCGACAGACACGCATACAGATACACAGATTGGAGAACGATAAACGTACAGAAATTGAGATGAACTCATATCGGTTTTAGGATATGTTACAGTTCGTATGCTACGGCCACACGGGCGTTTTTTCACGCAAGAACGCAGCGTGAAAAAACGCAAGAAATATGAGCAGCATTAAATGTAATGAGGTATGCCACACGCAGTGTGTTTTCCCGCAGTAGTGGTCGCCTATTTGTTTCAATGCTACTCTAATTTTTCGCGTGTTTTCACGCTGCGTTTGTGCGTGAAAAAAACGCCCGTGTGGCCGCAGCCTAACCGAAAACTTCATAACCCTACGCAATGTACAGACAAAACTGCATTTTCATGTCAATTTTTAATCAAACAAACTTTATTTATAAGTTTGGTTGTAATGTACGTGTTTCCTAATACCATAGACAAATCAACACAAGTATGTTAAATCTGTGCTGCTATTGACCATCAAGCAAATAATAATAATGCTATAAAATTTGTTTTACAGTTTCACATATGTTGGCAACACTGCGAACAATTTCCACAGCTCACATTGTTTTGATTAAGCTGGTTGACAGCTGGTTTAATTCTGCTGTTTTTGTTGACTCTAAAAACTTAATTTGTGTAATTTTGTTATTTATTTATCTTTTAAATTTGTTTATTTCCAGTTTATAAGTGTAACTATCTGAGCATTATAAAAAAGGTACTGGATATATATGTGCCTTAGCGTATTTCCTGTATAAACTGTTCCGATTTTTCAAAAGATATAGGTAGAGTCCCTTGTATGTGGTAGAGTTGATCTAAGGTAGGCACAGTAAAATCAAGAATGGAAGAAATCATGTCAAACAGTGTCAGTTTTGTCAAAAACGCATTGATTGAAAATGATAGTCCTGACCAAATGTCTGATAAAACTACTAAAAACATCGAGCACTGTGTAAGTTCAATGGAGAATACACAAGATAAAGAACTTGGTAAGTTAAAACTAACTATTGCCCGAAATAGTTTTTACTGTGATGCTTCAGATACCGAAAACGTAAGTGTGTCATCGACACAAGAAAGTGCATCAATTGAAGAGCATTCAGACGGAACATTCTCGGAAGAAGAAGATGACCAACTAAGCTACATTGAAGAGGAGGATAGTGAGGAGTTTGTTGTCAGTAAATATATGGAGAGTAAACTAGCAGCACTGGAAAAAACTCGATTTGGAGTGTGGAAGGTTGAGACACAAACCAACACAGACAGAAAGACAATGGACCTTGTGGGTAGATCTTCAACAACTTGGAAAGTTGACGGGTGTAGTGATAGCCTTTCTCCACTAAAACTTACTCTGAAGAAATCACAGACAAATTTACTAAAAGTAAAAGATAAAAAGCCGCCAAAGGTGAAAACTGAAAAAAGGAAGTACAACAGAAAGAACAGTTTGAGTGAACCGAAAGAGTCTAAGCGAGGACCAGGTCGACCACGTTCAAGATCTTGTCACTCCAAAAGCAAACAGAAACTGATCGATTTGTTTAAAAGGAAATATTTAAAAGATAGAAAGCGCAGGTCGAGCACTAAGTCTACCAGTTACCTACCTCCTACGATTAGAAGCATAGCCAAGCCATAGGATTTTCGTATAATTTTGAATTGTTGTTACTTTTTCCACTTGTAATAAATATTTTTCTCAATCTATTAAAAAGTCCCTTGGTAAGAGATTATGAAAAAATCAAACAATTGCTTTGTTACTTTGTCGATACACTATCAGTTGATCCCTATTATTATTGATGTACGCTATGTTACATTTCTTGCAAAATAGTTAATCATCTTCATCTTAGGATTGTACTGTAGCCAACACAATTCACTTTCAAAACTCATAGCCTAACTTATTTTATGTTAATTGACCTTATTTTTAAATATAATATTAAAAGCCAATGTAAAGCCTTATTTTGTTATATGGTTCAAGAAGATCTAGGTCTAAAATATTATAAAAGGTAGGTATGGATATATGCATCTGTCTCATTTTTCATTATTTAGTCCTAAAATAGATACATTGGCCGGCCATTTTATGTACCTAATTGTATTTTCTAGTTCTGATTTTGCAAATAGATTTGGCTTGAATCGTTGGTTTAGATCTTTTTGATTTGTTTAAAAAAAATGTATGCCAGGTCAGTGCTTGATCATTGATAATAATTATTAGTTCCACACACACACACACACATACATCACTTCAAAAACTACTTTTTGGGTCCTGAGGGACCCAAAACAAATCCACTCAACAGTCAAAACTTAAACTCAAAAATTTTGACGAAAACAATACTTTCTCCATACTGTTTAAGATATGGAGAAAGTGAAAATGATCCACTCATACAAAACTCATGGTCCATTCATGTTTTGTTAGAAATAAGCCACATTAATTGTGTTCTCATACAAAAGTTGTACTAATATAGTGATTGTGTATTAAACCCATTAAATCAGAATTGATCATGATAGAATAATCTAGGTAAAAGTATTTTATTAGTATCAATCAACTCCAAGTAAACAAAAACAATTAACACATGATAATAGACTAAAATGACAATAGTCAGTAGAGCCAACCATTACATCTCCCTCTTTAAAGGTTGAGTTTCTGGGGAGGTTTTATAAGTCGTCTTGATCGGGTTGTTATGTTAGCAGAAGACATTCCAGAGGTGTTTGGAGGAACCGTTGAAAAGTTTGGCATGTCTTCATGATGATCCATCGGACCTCTTGTTAATGGTTGACTGTTACGGTTATCTGTTGAAAAGTTTGTTAAGCACATACCGTTGTCTTCCTCAGATCGATGATCCTTCTGACTACTTGTTGATGGTTGATGGTTGTGGCAATGATCCTTCTGACTATTTGTTGATGCTTGATGGTTGTGGTAACTTTCCTTTTGAATGTTTGGCATTGGTTGTAAGTGAAACCGGTTTCTTCGAACTATGGTTCCTTTGTCCGTCAGTACTTTATAAGATCGTGGTGAGTTTAACTTTTCTACGACTTTTCCTTCACGTTTCAAATCAGATATCCAAACTTTGGTTCCTGGGTTCATATCTGATAAGGGTCGAGCACCATGTCGTCGATCGTAATTTCGTTTGTAATTTTGTCTATAATGATTCTCCTTCTCTCGGAGATGACTGAAGTCTGGCTTGTTCTCCAGATGACATGGTAAGGTAGGCAAATTGTCCCGTAGTCTGCGTCCGTATAATAACTGTGCTGGACTGTAACCGTTGGCCAGTGGAGAGTTCCTGTAAGACAACAAAGCTAAATATGGATCTCCTTTGTTCTTCTTTAGAACAGCTTTTGCAATTTTTACAGCTGCTTCGGCTGAGCCTCCCGTAACCTGTTTATGTTTTCATCAGTCGTAGGTATGTTTTCAACCACATTTTGAACAAAAGCTTCAATTTCTTCTTCCATGTCAACCATTACAGATTGTGAAAGCAGCAAGTCAATTTTTATTTCATATAATTGCAATTTAGCAGCAGAAGAATCATAGCCAGACAAGATGGATTTAATCATCGACCTTCATCACATAGTTTATCCACATTTACTTCAACTAGAGTCGTAGACACACACCACATTATGACAAAACTAGATGGACCATGAAATGTTTGACAGCTTAGTTTTGACATTACAGTAACTTTTCCACTAAGATCTGTAATATGCTTAAAGTTATGGAAAGTAACCAACCATCAGTCAAAGTCAAACCAATAATCATCAATCTTCCAATGTCAATTAATTTATGATATGGAATTTTAGGCAAAAACAGTTACCGTAAAAGATTTGATGAGTTTTGGAGATATTTTGTCAAAAACATTTTTCATACAGTACTCTGTTTCTGTACGCAGGAAATAAGTCATAACCGTATCAGTTATTGTTCAAACTCAGATTTTGCAGGCTCTGTCAAACCTCCTAGACCACTAAGAGCCTCAATGATGAAGAAAGCATAAGAAACAATGTTAGAAATTACTAAAAATTAATGGTTAATTGTTTTACTAAAAATCCTTGATACCTCCCACATTTCCCACATAGAGGTGTAATGAAACGGGAATGTGTGGGAACAACATTCCTATTCTTGCTTTTCTGAAGGTCTTGTATACTAAATAAGCAGCCTGTTTTTCCTAGCTGATGTTGTGAGCATTCCCGCGCTGGAAGATTAGAGTACATCACAAGTTCGCAGTCAGGCTGTATACTTAGAATAAAATGGTGCAACAGTACTTTAAAGATCAGCACTTGGTTTAGAGTGCTCCATTTTTTATCCACCATTACTTGAACCAAGTGGATTTATCCAAGTGACCATTGATTTACCTTTAAGATCTCATTATTGTTGTAGATTCTTATCTAAAATAGAAACTAAAAAGTGTTTGAGACAATAATTTTTAATAACAGGCATTAATCTCACTCAGCAATTGATTAACAATAATTTAACTGTGTCTGCATTGATTTCATGGCTGGAATTTCTAGGAGGCTGAGGAACAGTTGGGCTGCAACTGCGGAGTCATGATCTGCATCCACCGCCACCAAGTTAGGTACGGTGTCGCCACTCGAGTCGGGCGGATGTTGACTTTTGCAGCACACACTGTAACAAATAGACAGTTTACAATAAACTAAATCACTTACATACTTGAGCCATGTTGGATTATCAGTAAGAACCATAGTTTCAAAACCAAAAGGCATTATAAATTTTCACTAAAAGCAATTATTTTTGGTAAGAAACAGTTGCAAACCTAACTAAGTCACAGTTAAGCTCATTACAAAAATAAAACAATATTACTCTGTTAAATAGAAGAAAATGATATAAAAATGCACATTAACCACTGAATTTGTAATTATACTTTTTTTACCATTAAAATAAAATATGTCTCCACCTTATAATTCTGATATACAGGCCAGGAGGCAGTGAATTCTATATCCATGAGTTGTATAAATGTTTCTAGGATGACTTACTTCAGTTTATGTTATATCAACCCCCCCCCCCCCTCCACACACCAAGGTAGCCAAATTGTATGATTTATTTGTGATGTATTTATTTACCTCTCGCATTTACATGCTTAACCCCCATAACCTTGGTGGATTTTAAGGATATTTAATGAAAAGTTAACACCTATTAATCAATATTTATTTACAACACTGAAAACCCTGGGTGAAATCTCCTATAAGTACTGTACTTAAGACTATAACTAGAATAGCATGTGTGGACAAAAAGGAACTTAAACAAAACAACAACTGGTCCTTTTTAAAAACCACCTCTTTTACCTTGGTCACTCAGTAATTTTTTAGCGAATTTCCCTATTCGGATCTTTGCTACTGGTACTGGTACCATGAAATTAGAGTATGAAATTCCAAATTATCTCTATTGTATACCCCCAAACCCCCAACCCCCAAAGAAAGCAAAGAGCCAACACAAAAGCTTCCGACAAAGGATCCTGGCAAACTTCTTTGGACTTTGAGAGTTACTGCGACTCACACTCTTTCATTATATTATGCCACATCAGTTTACATTTGGACAGAATAATGTAGTTTCATAATTTTCAATGAGTCTTAAGTAAAATAAAGAAGAATTGTAAAATTATGATTTGTTCATAGACTCAAGTTTGTTTAAGTGCTTTAACCAATGTTATATTTTATGTTAGCCTATTAAAAAAAAAAAATTCTCTCAATTATGCTAGAAACACAACATTGAACTTTATCAACAATAAAAAAATTCTATACCAAAGTTCATCTTTTTATCTTTCATCTCTCTTTTATCTTTGCCTCAAATAATTGTTTTGGGATTAGTAAAGATTGTTTATAATTACTTTGATCTTGTTCTCCACCTTCATGTTGATCACCATTACTTTCTTCCGCAGGGGGTTTCTTCCCAAAACAAGCTGTAATTGATAGCACATTATTAAATAATATCTTGATTAGCAGTGTACATGCTATTACATTTGCGGTAAGTAAATAAAAAATATGTCTTATATATGTCCAACCAACCTCAACTATAGACCCAAGGTCCCTGTAAGCACCACTGGTGGGGGCTTGGGTTAAAGGTAACAAGATACATGCTTTTATCAGTTGCCCCTCTAAACATGCATATATGGCCCATTTTGACTTATTCTTACTGGGTGTGTGAGTCTACCTAAAACTTATAAGTTTGTGTTAAGGGTAAAAGTAAAACATTAGGTATAATTATAGGCATAACTAAACAAGATAATTTTATCTTTAGGGCTGAAAGAGTCAATTGTATGTTTAATACTTTAATACTTTTCTACTTTTCAATGAAGTGGCGACCATACAAAGTAGGTATTTTAAGCCAAGTATGAATGGTGATGAGTGTAGGATGAGTGGCGCGATCTTTGTAGTCTTGTTAGTGACTAAGGCCGACATATTTCTTAGACACAGCTGTTAATTAATAGCCCATACAGCTAATGGCTACTAAAATGGACCTACAGTTTATAGTGGAATCGGAACCACATTTTTCCTTGGTATTAACAATTATATGGTCTAATTAGCTGGATAGTACTGCGGAAAGTCGTAGTACTAACTAGTTCGGAACCCACACCAGGGAGTATCGTATCCACAGTGCATGCCTATAAATATCCATAATCCGTTTACTTTTATTAGTATGAGTATTTTTTTAGTTCATCTTTTAAGTCACAATTTTGTAAACTGGGAGGAATTGCAGTGTAGTAGTAGTCCCAATTATTTATGTATCAAACATTACCTATCACTGATATCCTACATATAGGTACATGGATTTATTTAGTATCAAAAAAGAGAACTATAAATATTATCAAATGTACTCTTAATATACTTACCACCCATTGCAGATGATGGTATTAAGCACTGATGGTCTTTGAAGATTTATAAATTTAAAACTATTTTCACTGAAAAATATCCACAACTCCTTTATATCCTAGGAAACACTAGTTTGTCAACAATGATTCAATTTACTTTCACCATATGTTCTTATTATTATACAATGTGACTGTTATTAAGATTTAAAACTCACCAATGTTGACAAATACTTCATATTGAAATTTGTTATTAACTTTAAGTAGTCTGAATAATTGTATCTTGTTTTCTAAATAATATACATACTTTTTATATTAAACCTACTAATTTTTACAATACAGTAGATTTATTCCTGATTTTAATGTGATGACATTAATTAAATACATTATACTTTTTAGTTTCATGCTTATGATATTTGAGCCTGATGTTAACCTTCTGTTGAAACCAATAAAAATTATATACAGGGTGAGGCAATGAAAGCGCCCCATTTTATAATGTACAAATTCAATACTATTTACTCTATACAAATCAATAGCACATGGAAACACAGCTTATATTTTGCCATTTTAACTTAACAAAGTCATTTTTCCATTTCTTGAAAACAAAATCCTTTAAGTGACGTCCTTGTCCTACTCTACATTCATTTTCGAATCAGTCACTTCAAAATGCCATTGAATACCATTGAATACTCCTTCCAGCATTTCTTCAGGAATCACTTTGGTTTTTTGTAAATTAAAAAAAATCTCTAGGGCAACTTTGAAAAACCTTAAATTTCAAGTAGCTTATAGGGAGAACCCCCAAAGAAAGCAAAGAGCCAACACAAAAGCTTCCAACGACGAAAGGATTCTGGCAAACTTCTTTGGACTTTGAGAGTTACTGCGACTCACACTCTTTCAACATTATTGCTGGTGTACAAAGAGTTTTGCGGCACCCACTGAATGTTTTCATGGTTTAAGCTGTTATCCCCGAAATAATTTTACCCCGTTCCCTATTGTTTTCCAATCTGGAACAGCAGCATATTGACCAAGTATGGAATGTGGTCCAAAAAATATCTGAGTGTTTGCATAAGAATCACTATATTTTAAAAATAGGTTCCTACATCAAAATCTCAGTGTTGTTACAAGCGCCAGGCACAATGTTTACTAAAATTTCATAGTTTGATTGATGTTATAAGCACACAGCTGTTTGTTCATTGTTGCTTTACTATAATGTGACAACGACAGAAAATCGGGGTGCTACCTCACCCTGTACTATATTTACATTTTCCAAAGCCTTTCCCTCTAAACCATTATTTTAATAGCTAATCTGGTGAAACATTTGCCTGGATTTAAAGTTTAAAGTTAGAATGTGTTTCTCGACTTCCATATTGTTTTTATCATCTCATGCTGCCCCCCATTTTATGGCGACACTCCAAGTGCTCCGGTATTCTGTATAATGGTGAAATCCTGGGAACTGAGACTTTTCATATTGATTAACAATTATTTGCATTAGCAATTAGAAGGGGGACGCCACCTAGGTGAGTATTTAAACCCAAATATTGAAATTGAATGCGAGGGATGAATGTAGAATCAATGGTGTGACTGTGATCTGTGTAGCTGTAGCTGTGTTACTGACTGAGATTAGCTGTTTCTTAAGTCAGGATTATCATAAGGATAGTTTATTCAAAGCCCAAGATGAACATATAAGATTTTTAAGAACTAGCCATACTTTAAAACTCACAATAGTGAGCAAGAGACAAACAACTTTGTGCCAGTTGTTGGGTACCCATCATCCATATCATCATGAAAACCATTCTCATAAAATTAGTATAATTTTATTATACTTATTTCACTAATAATATAATAACTATTTTATCAACTGAATGGAGTATTCATACAAGAAGACAGTTCAATATTTTTTCGTAAGAAATCGCACAAGTCCTCCTAGTGTATATTTATTACTAGTATGATAATATTTTCTCAAAATCAACGTTTGGCTACCATGTTTCACATTTGGTCTGCTTCCTTCACCACAAGGATTGCTGCCGATGCTGCCGATTGATGACGATTTCTCTCGAACTCTGCTTGGCTGATGCAATAGATGTTGTCAATATCAAATGAATGTTAATTTGCCAACATAAGCTACTGTAATTCAGACCGAGAAATTTAGAATTTTTACTTAGCTTTTTAAATTAAACATCTCCATAATGACAGAAGAGGAGTCGGTATGTTACAACCATTTATAATTAGGTTAATTTTGTTGGTGAACTCTCATTTTAGGGTTACCGCTCCACACCTACTTCCTTCATTACAACTCTTATGCATAGCCTAAGTCTTTAAAAAAATATATAGGCCTGTATTAAAACTTTTATAAAGTTAGCTATAAAATAAGTTTCAACTTGGACTATGCCTTGGACACTTTTTAATGTGTCCGCTTTTTAGGTCATTGGCCTAACTAAGGCCTAGTCTTGGTGTTTTTTTTTCAGACCTCTAATAGGCTACATGGTCCACCTACCCTAGTTCAAATGCTAATGTGTTTATTTTTCATAGTTTATTAAGTTCTATTTTTAAATAAGGGACTCAAATGTCTAAAAAATAGATTTATAATCTTGTCCTGAATCTTCAATTTGCCACCTCACTTGCCCTATTATTATCCATATGGAACCATTAAATAGGGTGTTTTTTTGTAGCATCACAGGCAAAGGCCTATTAATATGTTACACAGTAAGTTTTATCACACACAATGGCATAATTCATGTTTAGGTTTTTATCTAAAGAGGCCTAGAATCCATTTTCCTCATCACAACTGCAAAATAAAAAGTTGCGGTTTTGCGTGTGTTTTCTTTAGGCGTAGGTCCAGTCAATGAGTAATGGAATGACTGTATTACTTGGTTTGTATCCATACATCTAAGTTAAGTTAATGCCCCGCTGAATCTAAACCTTTATTGTCATTTTAATGATAGTTCAAACATTTCCCCTCACATTGGGATAATAAAAGTGATTTTTTATACTACAAAATTGTTGTTATCTAGACTATCTGCTTCAAAAGCATTCCCACTCGGGAAATAACTTATAGGTACTATGTTGATTGACCTCATTAACTTAACCAACTTTAAGTTAAAGATTTTCCAAAACTTTGAGGCTAACTTAAATGTTTCCAATTCTTAGGCTTTTATTTTCATGTCAAGTGTAACACTTTGAACCGGCCTCAATTAACAATACCAACTAAGCTTAACAACAAGAATACTTAACAATAACTTAACTTAACAATACTTTTAAACTGCATTCAACTATCGTAGAGAGACTAAATTACAAAACAACTGAAAGCCATATCTGCACATACCGGTACGCCTACATATGTTTTGAAGCCTGGAAGTTAAGTTTTTTTAGAACCACACACTTTATTTTGGGGTTGACCTGTGTTGTTGAAATATTAGGTATAATCAACAGTTAACTAAGTGGTCTAACTTAGACAGTGTTTCGCCACTAAGGAAACATCATGGTAGTACCTAGCTTGGGTTGGATCGTCTCAATCTTTTGTTGTTTTAAGGTTATAGAAATTATGAGAACTTCGGTTGCAGAGCATGATTGGAATGGCCCGCTTAAAATTAACAGTGCAAGGCTAATATATAGGCCTACATTTCCTGTATGGGGAATTCTCCATGAGTCGAACCCCAGAGTCAAGGTTTACAGCGTGTAAACAAGAAGTTTAGCTGACAAATGAAAAGAATATTGGTTAACTTACCGTGCTCTATAGTGTGTTTAGTTACAGAATTTAATTAGTATTTTCTCTCTTTGAAACCATTGTAATACGGTACTACAATTTCCTCGTAAAAAAGTACAATCACAAAGCACAAGGACCTAAGTTCTTAGTGAGAATAGCAGTCTTAGGCCTACCTGCATGGGAAAGTGTTCAAACTGAAACAAGAAGCACAACACTTAACTAAGTTGCGTTAGGTAGGGTACCGGGAGGCTAAATAAAGTTTAACTTAATAGTCCAATGTTTCATGTTTCTTGTGCTAATTACTAAGGGCTCTTTCCCATTCAGGTAAGTTAAGCCTGCTACTGTTCCTCAAAATCCTAAAAATTTCTCACGTTACAAGATAACTTGTTGTTTTAAAAATAAGTGACTTAACTTACGTATACCCCTAATAATTGTGTTGATGTTTTCAGATTTTTGATCCTTCTCTCAAAAAGAAGAAGAAGAAAAAGAAGACCACATTTGATATTGAGTCAGCCATGGCAGAGGGAACTGGTGGTGTAGATGGGGATGGTGCTGATGCCAGTGCTACGGACAAGGAGAACATGGAACCAGCCAAGACTGAGGACATGGACATCGATGGTATGGTTCAAAATTAATGTTTTCTTGTTTTCTAAATTTAGCAGGTCAACAAAACAATCATTGAAATTGGCCAAGGCTGTAGCCTATATTAAAATACCTAAAGTTGTTCCTTTTAATCCCAGAGAAGTAAGTAGCAGAGGATTCAACGATACACTCAAGTGGTGTCTAGTGTAGCACTGGTGGTGGTGTCTAGGGCAAAGTTACGCACCGCCCTCCTTGCCTCATGTACTCAACATGCTCATGTACTTCAACGCTCACGGTGAAGGATGACCCTGAGCAGTGTGTGGTAGGAATTTCCACACAGTACTTGCCGTTCCCCACTCTTCCTTGCTCTTATCCCCTCCCCCCTAAATACCTGAGCTTATGGTTGTCTCATAAGCGTTGACTTGTCTATTATCTTATGTTATTTGGGAATCGGTCATTGACAGTAACAACAAGATACGATGTTTTAACTTTTCAATTTATTTTTTTGTGTTTACTATTTTTGACACTCTCCTCTCCTGATATTGTAGTATGGTAACACCAGTGACCATATATTGTGGTCTTGGTTACATTGGTGATCGTCTTTTTGATAGCAACAACACTCTTGAGCATCGTTTTAAACAGGAGAAAAGTTATTCATTAGTCTATTAATGACAAGCTTAGTGTAGGCCTATGTCAGATTTTATTTAGTTAAAGTTTAACACAAGTTGCACGATATTTGTCTACAGTTGATTAGACATAAAATCCTGTTGACATGGTCTTTTATTAGCTATGACTCAAATTGTTAAAATTCAAGTTTGTACTTTCTCCTAGGTTTTATAAGGTACTGTAGTCTAGAACATTTAATACAACATAGGCCGATCTATCTTTTCCTGACTTTGGTTTTTTTTCATCCCACACGGAAACATTTGTTCTAGTAGGCATACCGATAACTTAAATCTTTAACAACAAAATGAGATGTTGGTATAGTTGTATTAGTAGGTATCTAGGCCTACTGGTACAACTTTAAAACATCCATCTCAATTTGTTGTGAGTTTTTTTTCATCAGCCACCAACAGATTGTACTAATCTAA